AGGCTCTGTGCATACTGTGCCATTCCCAGTCAGTGCCACCAATTACATCTGGTGTCACAATGGCATGGATTGTTAAAAACAAAAAACTTTTTACTGTTATAGATTGAATGGCAGTCAGTGTCCATAAAGCGGTGTGTTACGCTAACGGTGGATCACGGCTGACCAGTGCCACTAATTAGATCTGGTGTCACAATAGTTTGGATTTAAAAAGAAAATCTTTTTCACTGTTATAGATTGAATAGCAGTCAGTGTCCTTAAAGCGGGTGTGTTATGCTAACAGTGGATACGGTGACCATTGCCACCACTTAGATCTGGTGACACAAAGCTTGTATTTAAAAAAAAACAACCACTTTTTTCACTGTTATAGATTGAATAGCAGTTAGTTATCTTCAAGCGGGTGTCAGGCCTACAGCCTGTACTCTGCACAACTGTGCCAGTGCACATTGCCACTCATATCTGGTCTCACAGTAGCTTGCACGCATAGTACCACTAATCCCAACAAAAATGACAGGCAGAGGCAGGCCACCCGCAGGGGCCATCGTGGTCGTGGTGCTGTGATTCCCTTTGGCCCTAGAATAATGCCCAGTTTTCAGAGGCCACGTACCCTGAACTTGAAAAGTTCTGAGGACATAGTTGACTGGCTAACACAGGACACCCAATCTTCTACAGCCTCCGCTCAGAACCTTGAAGCACCATCCTCCTCCAGCTTAGCTTCAGGCACCTCTCAAGATACCACTCACCCGCCTGCCGCCACCACCAAAACTAGCACCACAGCCGCTTCGGTTGGTATGTCAGAGGAGTTATTCACGCATCCGTTTGAAGAAATGAGTGATCCGCAACCATTATTGCCAGAGGATGTAGATAACAGGGATATGTCTCAGGCAGGCAGTATTACACACATGGACGTACGGTGTGATGATGATGATGATGTTGTACCCGCTGCTGCTTCCTTTGCTGAGTTGTCAGATACAAGTGAAGCGGTTGATGATATTGATCGTCCATGGATTAATCGCGTGGTGCCCGGCTCGTCAAGAAGAAGAACAGAGTAGAAAGTTCAGATGGGGAGACAGGGAGGAGGAGGAGACGAGTTGGAAGCGGGGGGAGGTCGTCGCAAGGAGCTAGTGGCACAGTCAGACAGCATGCATCGACACCCGGGGTCAGCCCGACAGCACGCCAATCAACGCATGCTGTGTCCACCACCAGAATGCCGTCATTGCAGAGCTCAACAGTGTGGAATTTTTTTTGTGTGTCTGCCTCTGACAACAGCGATGCCATTTGCAACCTGTGCCAAAAGAAACTGAGTCGTGGGAAGTCCAACACCCACCTAGGTACAACTGCTTTGCGTGGGCACATGATCTCACATCACAGATGCCTATGGGATCAACACATGAGTACAAGCAGCT